AATTAATAATTAATTAGAAAATATTTAAAAACAAATAATTTAATATTAATTTTAGATAAATCTTTTAATAATTACATGTCCTTCCATTTTGTTGTCTATAAACTACAAATCTAAAAATAAAATATGTATAATATGTATAAACTTTCTTTTTCCACGTTGATATTTTTTTCTCTATTCTTGTATACTATTTGTGTACCTGTGTATTTTAACTTCGTTGGTTTTAGTAATTAACTCACGAGTTGTCTGATTCAAATCAATTGCACGATTTCAGTGCGGTTTGACCCCTGTTTCGTCCCAGTGCTGCCCCATTTCAGTGCTGCACTGAGATAGCTCGCATGTTATCCGTGCTACCCGGACAAAATGCTGTTTCAGGACAGCACCAACACAGAGCTGCACGGAGTCAGTGCGTGGTTCCCGAATTCGCTATTAGTACATAAACAACACACATTATCCATCATACGGGGCAAATTGCTTACACATGACAAGTTAGTGTAGTGGTCTAGTAGGTTAGCCTAGGGGCGATGGTCGAAAATCGGCAACCTTCCTCTAATTACTATTTCGGTTAATAATAAACGATTTTTATACACAGTGTTTTCAAAAAGTTTCCGGACTTATGTTTGCTACCAAAAAGATTTATACGTAGACATCATTTTATTGTTTAATGTTCTACAAACTTTCCTCCTCTGTTGATACACTCTTGATGATGTTCATACAGTCGCCGGAAACATCTGGAAAAGTCTTCGACTGAAATACCCTTTAACGTCGTTGTCACTTTCCGTTTGATTGCTTCCTCATCCTCAAAACGAGTTCCTTTCATGGCTAGTTTCAATTTTGGAAATAGGAAATAATCCGCTGGAGCCAGATCTGGCGAGTACGGAGGGTGCATTAGAACCGTGACTGACTTTTTAGCCAAAAATGAAGACACTGTTAGCGATGTGTGAGACGGAGCGTTATTGTGTAACAGAAACCATTGACCGGACTGGTGTTTTTTTTCCAATTTCATCATGAAGGATAGCATGAACACTTCCAATACTTATTTTCAACTCCTCTGACAACATTTCAATGGTCATACGGCGATCTTTCATGAGAAGCTGACGAACTCGCTCAACATTTTCGTCCGTTCTGCTTGTCGACGGACGCCCTTTCCTTGGGTTGTCTTCGAGTGACTTGCAACCATTCTTGAAACGTGAATACCATTCAAATACTTGCGTACGACGGAGACAGTCACTTCCATATGCATTTTGCATCATTTGGTATGTCTCTGTAGGACTTTCTCCGCTTAAAAAACAAAACCGTATCCCAGTCTTTGCACCGTCACAAAAATTATTACAACGAAACAAAACTGACAAATTTAAAATTTGCTCTGCAGACAAACGACTAAATCTTTTAAGGTTAAACGAAGCTGATAAACAAAAGAAGATCTATAGTCAATAGATTTAGCCTTAAAACATAGATGTCGCCACCAGAAGCTATCATGTAATAACACTCCGGGAACTTTCCGAATACACTGTGTATAAAGTCCACGATCTTTTTATCTCAAACCTTATATTTAGGGCCTTCCAGTTTCATCATAAATCTAATAAAACCAACATCTATTCCCCAGGTGCTGGAGTGGGGCGGTGTTTCTTTGATAGATCGTAGCTTCGAGGAAGTCGCTCAAATAACCGAGCGTGGCGACGATGTGGTCGAGCTGGTGGTCGAGCATGCTGCTGACATGTAAGTACAATGGACTAGCTGATCGAATCTCGGACCAGTTGATTGTATTACCAAAACATTTGCCTGACACGAGCGCAGCGGGGATCTGCCGGATGATCTAGGTACAGTACCAGCGTCCGGAAAAGTGCCGGGAAATATGGGCCTGCTGATGGGTGAGTAGCAAAACACTGCTTTATAAACCACGATTGTTCGATGAACAAAAAAGAAGTATCAATCGGGTAGAGATGCTGTGTGTCGGTAGAAAGTGCATCGTCGGCTTTAAAATCGATAACTCACACGGAACGACGGCTCGCCGCCATACGCCAACCATATAGAGTATAGAGAAACGTTTTCGAACACGGGGAACGTGTCCCGAATAGATTACGCTCGAAAGTAGTCGAGCTATTCATTTCGCATGCGAATCAGATTATAATACGTTTATTTTGTTGTTTCTTCCCACTGGGATGCCGAGGGTGTTCACGGATTCGTTGCACGTAGTGTGCTCAAATGATCATTGCCGTTCAGACCATATGTCGTCTGGTTATGATCGGCAAGAATCATCGGAGCGGAGTGCACCGAGCTTGTGGCGTAGTAATACATGTGATACTTGTTAAAATGGACAGAAAGTATTAGTAAATTGGTGGTTGCGAATTGTGTCATTATTAATTTTGTAGTACCTACGACAAGTCTTTTTATATCGAGGATTCATTGTATAGTTGACGGTATTTCGAGGTCTATGATTATTTATAGTTTTTTGTATTTTATTGTCGTAATTGAGCTGCTTTATGTGATTCAATTGTCATAGTCTTACATCGATTAAACTTCGAAATTCTTTATTTTGTATCAGGTTTATTTAGATCTATGCTTGAAAGTTAATATTTGTACATGTAGGTATACATTGCCATAATTTATAGTTTGTATATTTTTAATATTTTTGTCTTCAGTGATAGTACTAAGGTATTTGTGACACAAATTGCATACAAATGTATTTAAAATATTTAATGGTTATATACATGGTTTTATGTAGTGGATAACGTTTTATAACATATTTAATGATTATATATTTTGATCTTTTATCTCGATTGAATTATATATTTTACAATTATATACATTTCTGTTATAAATTGATTATTTAACATTCGTTGCACAGGTTGGACACAACCCTAATTGTAAGTAATTCATTATTCAGTGAAACGACTTAAGAGTTATTCGTTTATTCTTTATTTTGGGCGCATTCGAAATGTCGGATTTTTGTAATGACACTTGACATTCTATGGAACTTCAAACGAATTCAGTTAGGCAAAATAAAATTGTTTCCTTTTAGCAACGAAATTTGCATATATTCTTATAATCTCTAATAAACCCAAAATTTTTTAGTTAAAAGTTACCATTTATTTGTTGCTGTTGAAGTCTAAGATGTTAAAGTGTAAGACTTCACGAGAATCTTGTACAGACTTTGTAAACTAGATTTTAAGCTTGACTTAAAATTTTTATCTCAATCTGTCATCTACTTCAAATTAATTTAAGGAATCTTTAAAAGTACAAAGCATGGTCTAATTTAACACGTAAGTGATGGTAGGTATGGAAATATAATCAAGTATATCAATTAGTATTGTTGCATAATACATGTCGTTTTTCAACGCACTGCGTTTCAGCCATCTTAAAATCGTTGAATGTAGAATCAAAAAGCTTGTGACCCATTGGTAAGAATGTGTCGCTTCAGCGATTAAAAATCTTCTTTCCAAAGTAAATTTAAATCATTCAAACTCTGTAAATCGAGGACAAAATTTATTATGCAACAACCTGATATAACCAACAATTCATACGCATCCCGATCTGGATCGTTCTTTATCATATTATGTAAAAAAAATTTTATTCTCAAATCTCATTCATTATCTTCATAATTTCATCTGCGACGGCTTCTAGGAGATATGAAGACTAGTAAAATAAAAGTCCAATTTAAATTGTATTGCTTCGAAATAGTTGAGTTAAACGTACAGAGTATTAACACATTGTTAATAGCAGTAAAATCAGACCTACGGATGCTATGCAGTTGCGCCGCATGCCAATGTATGAAGAATAATAAAATAATTTTGAAATAATTTTACTAGAGATTAATAATAGTTTCGTTTTGTCCTTAACTTAACGGTCCCAATTATTTATGAAATAAATTAATAATGATAATTCGCAACAAGGGTCCACAGACTACAAGTTTTAAAGTTCCGTTTTAACGAGTACCGTCGCGCGAAACGTGAACACCCCGTCCGACGTAATGATCACGTTCCCAAGTGTACACCGTTGACGGTTGTCTCACGATAAATTTGAAATGTTTTACAGAAGCGGAAACGGATAAAACACCCTCATCACCGACGCGCAGGAAACTGCCAAAGACGCCGGTATAACGAGTTCATAAATTGACACCTACACACATGACCGTCTCTCTTTCTTTTTCTATCTTTCTCTCATTTCCACGCAATGTACACGCATATGCATACCACACAGGGATTGAAAAAAAAAAAGACACAGAACAACCTCGATTAGACCGAGTTTTATTAGTGGTAGCGGAAAAGAAACGTGCAACAGCACCATCTACGCTTAGAAAAACGAAACACCGAAAGGATCCCCTACCGTCCTCTATCGGTCTGTCGCTTTGTATATATATATATATATGTATATGTATATACCTCTCTCTCATGATCCGTGTCCGATGCGAGGTATCGTGCCTCTGTATACTTCTTGACGCTGTTCCGTACCACCTGTCACCGTAGGAAACTCGATGTGTAGGAATTCCGAACAGTTATATAGCGGCTGCGACATTACGTAGAGGGTAAATGACCGCCTTCGATGTAAATAATAACGCGCGCACCCTTTGGTACAACACGAGACGCGAGAGCACAATACGTTCTCAATCGGTACACATCCGAAGAAAGAACGGAGGACACGAGACGATCGATGAATTTCACCCTTACTCGCCGCCATTGGTAAATATAGTAAAGGTTCCATGAGTGTTTGAAATTTGGGACCGCTTCAAAACTTTCAGGGGGCACCGAATCGTTTCAACCGCTCATAAATCTATTTTTTGGGAGAGGGGGGCAATAAAGTATGCGCTTGACAGGTTCTGCGCCCCTCCCCCTCCCCCCAGTGGTGGGTATGATGTAGAAACTATTACGAGGAACTTTCTATCCAACTCTCATGGAGCCTTTATTATTTTATGTAATTTGATCGTACGAAGTACACATTTTACATACCTACTGATCGAAAATAATGCTTTCGATAATAATAATAAAAATAAAACGAGATACAGTCGCATTTATTACAGGAAAATATTCATATATAAAATAAATATATATCGACTATTTATGAAATACTGAATGAGAAAAATAAACATTGATTAAAGAAAGGTTTGTGTAATACGTAGACGTTGATGAGATTTTTCGATAGTTTCTAGTAAATATTGAAAATGTTTTAATAATACCACTTACACAGTTTTTACAGAATCTTTGTGTTCCATTGATGATTTAATGGTCATGTTATTCTAAATTTCGTAAAAACAGAAGGATGTTCATTATTTTTTAAAATATTTTCTTCGAACATTGACAACTACTCTTTAATGCACCAGCTGGTCATCGCAACAGTCAACATGCGATAGATAGAGAAGAAATGTTTTCTACAAAATTTTTAATTGAAAAATCAAGGTTACTTTGAGTTTATTGTTAAACAGAAAATTATATTTCTAATTCTACAGAAATATAATCGATACTGTAACTTTGTCAACAACTTTGATATTATGAGTTTTAGATGACCTGAATCTTTATTATTTATTTAGAAACTTTTCGTATAAATTGTAAGTAGTTGAATTTTCTTTGAAAATTCAACTATCAAATGATGCAATTACAAGCATTATATTCCCCTACAAAAAGTACCTAATTTACGTGCCATCCAGTACAGAGTAATTTGTTTTGTGTTTAAATGAAATACAAGTTTATACAAACCATTTTTTTATCGTTTCACTGTAAATGTTTCAGCAATTAAACATTCTATTTATACAGTAACATACTTCTTTTTCAATACTTTTGCAAATAATTCGTACAATGTTTGAAATTGGTTTTATTCAATACATTTTGTTAATGGTAGAAGTTCTTGTTGCCTTGGAGAATACATTTCTTGCTCAAAACCTGGTCAAACCGAGTTTTTCGCCTTCTACGAACAAATTTTCGGTTAACTTTTAAATTCCGCTGTACAGAAAATTTAAATATTCAAATCAATTAGCCTAACCATGCTTAATAATGTCACGTGGAATACTAAAAGATAAAGTCTGACAATCAGTGTACATATTAATTATCCAAGGCTCAATAAATGCTCGCAGCTTTCGTCATTAAATCACGAAATGATAAAACAAGAAGAGGAGAAATGTTTTTGTTGAACACGAATGACTGTACTTTGTCCATGTCATCGTGAAATTTTCGCCTTTCAACGTAAATCAAAAACGATACTAACCACCTTACTATATGTATAGTAAGATCGAAATTTTATACATTTGTAATCAACAAAAGAATTGCACTTATCTATACACGTAATATACAAATAACTCAACGAAAGAACAACAAAATAATGAATCTATTCATTTTTTATGTACTTTTCCGAATATTTTCATTTGGAAACTGTTAATACTCGAAGAGTGTTTGTTGAAGTGAAATTGGACATCAACGTGTACACGTGTGTAGAAAAATGTAAATAATTACCCAATTGAAAATTGTTTTACGGTTAATGGAGCATGACTGCAATTTCATATCAATATTGCACAATACATAAAGCACTACGGTATTGCCGAATTTCCAATTTTTTAAAATTATAAAATTGGTATTGTGCATCGAATTTATAAAATTTTGTGGACTGAACTGAAAGGAGTAACATCATACTTTTTATGAAATGTGAAACAAAATCGATTGTTGGGACAATACGTTCTGTTCTGTGCGTTATTTTATTCTCTTAGTATACAGTAGGTATATGTCAATTACTCTAATCGTACAGTAGAATGCTACAAAACAAATACTTCGTGCAGAAAGTGTTTATTTTTTAATCATCCAAATTTATAACATCTGTCTGGAAATTGCAAAAACATCAACGTTTTTGACTTCACTTTTAAAGTAAATTATAGTGACACTTTTTGACAGTCAATTTAAATTTATACATTCATAACTCTGTATCGTACTTTTCATACCGTCTATGAAATATCAATGACAGTACGATATTGAAAGGGAGATATTACTAACCAAATTATATCTCTTGACAATGTTAAGATCCGACATAATAATTATGAGACATATTGAAATTTGTTTAACTCTTCGTCAGTTTGCTTAACAAATACTTTCCCTTACCATGTACTGATTCTTAAAGAATATATTATAAAACGCGTTTATTAATTAAATTTTAATTGATATTTCGTTCCAAGACATTGTCACTACAATCGTATATCAAATAAGACTCAAACGTACATGAAACCAGAAGTCGTCCAACTAACATTAACCATCCAATTTATACATTTGTAACGTAAATCGGTAAACGTTTTTTATAATAAACCTATCTAATATGACAGCAAAAGAGTCAAATCAAACACAGACAATCCATTTTCTACTGAAGCTCATTTATTTCGAACGCAGCCTTTTTAAACGCCTCCCCTTTCGGCGAGAATTGCGTGAAAAAACAGTCTCCTCCGTTCTATCTTTCGGAAAAGTCACAGAACGGTAATCAAGCTCGTTTCAATAATCGCAACAGATTCACGGAATCATCGTAGGCTTTTGATGAGTGAACTTAATTCACGACACTAGCGATCTCCAGCCTTTCCGTACGAAATCAATTCGTACGCTTTTAATCGACGCTTCACTCGATCACGCTGCATTAAACGTGAAGTCGCAATGACAATGAAAATCTGCGCCACGGAGAGAAAAAGTCTTCTGGATCGAAACTGATCGAGAACTATAGACAAGAAACGCTTTCTTGTATCAGCTTTAGATGCTATTAGAGATTGTTTATGCATAAATGTGAACCACCCTTTCGATGAAATATTAGCTGATCGTACGTGTATAGATCTATTCGCGGTTTTCATGCAATTAATTACAGTAATACTTCACGATATTTGAACGTTTCAGCCTCACAGAATTCCAGTTTTAAATTCCATTGATTTCTGCATGCTAATGTAGTTGCAACTCGTCGAACAGCTGTGCTGGACTTCTGGAACTTCGGGCCAGTGTCTAACAGTGTATACGTTAATTCTTAATACAGTATAAACATTTCTTTAGTGAGATTTTTCTTATGAAAATGAAACCATATACGACATTATTCGGATAACATAATTTTAAGTTGTACTTATTATATAATGAGACCTAACCAGTGTTTGGACTCAGTTCCATCAGGAAAACCTCATTAATTCATTGGGTGAAAGTTTCATAACGGCATAATGAAGTATAAGAGAACTTTTACATTGCATTAGCAGTTTACACACAGGTACGTTGTTGGAGTTTTGGGAGTTACCCAACGAGCCCGTTGCTAGTATCCTATTTTGGTCAGTTTCCGCGTGTCCTGCTTTCCATCCTTGTTGGATGTTATGTCGAAAGGTACGAAATTTTTCGAATCGTGTGAAAGGTTACTGGAAATGTTAATGGCATCTGTCACAGACTTACTGCCGCGATCCTAATATTACTTTACAGATGACAAAACTTTGATCGAAGGTAGTTCCCGGTTTCGACAAAATCCCTGGATAAAACCGAGGTATTTATCCATTCACGCCCAACTTTGTCTGTGACTAATTTCTGTAAGACTGCACACGGATTAGTATAGCACGTTAATGGATGGTTGCAGTTTCAAACCATTGCAAACTTTGACCGCCAATTTATCCACGTCGGATGAAGACTCCGGAGAGATCTTTACGTCTACGATCAGCTACTAGCTTGTTTGAGACAAATTTTACTACTTACTTTCGCCGTAAGAAACTAATCTGAACGGTCTCTAATCGAGGACATTACTTGTAAGCCATTATTACGTGTCTCTTTTTGGGGTGGAACCGCGAATAATTCTACAGGGTTTCTGACAATAGGTGTATCTCTTGTATAAACATGGATGTTAAGCTCTGAATTTTACGATCAGAGACTGTTGGAGAATAATTAATCGGGAAAAAGAATCTGATTTTTCCATTGAAGATAAGATTTTCGTGTATTATATATTTCTTTCTGTTCAGTTTATCTTTTTGAAACAGTGATATGAAATAGGCGTTGTCACCTTGCTTCTGGGTTAGGTGAAGTATTTCATTTATAGTTTCTCGTCTTGAATGGATCAGGAAGCATCTGATACGAGAATTCGCGAGAGATAACTCCCGAGAATATTACTGATCGATAAAAGC